CTATCCGTCAAGAAAATCATGATTAAAGCTACATGTGAGTCTAAATCTGTGGCGTTCTTTTACATACGTTCTAGTGCTTTCAAGACGGAATACATCGGCAGAAATCGGAAAGTGTCTCATTAGAATTTGGTATTTCTTAACTTGTTCTCGATTGCAATTGATGGCATGAACTATAATCGGATACTGGTCTGTACAACAGCATTTTGAAATCAGAACTCTAAAGAGATTCATTAGATTCACCCGAAACACTGACATATTAAAGTTCTAGTGCTTTCAAGACGAATACATTCGAAAGTAACACTTTGTCTCAGATATTTCTTAACTTGTTCTCGAGTGCAATTGATGGCATGAACTACAATACTCTTTCCTTATTCAACACATCATTGATTTGGAATGCCCCTTTCTTTAGAATATTGCAGTGAATGAGACAAAATTATGTGATCACCTTCCTTGTTATTTAAGGAGTCGGTTCATACATGTTTTTTATATTGTAACTAGAAAATAGTAGTTCGTGATTAATTGCATCTGCATGAGGAAGAAGTAGCATTGCTATAAAATCCATTTGTTGTTCTATAAAATGAAAGAAAAATTATGATGGATTTACTTTTAAAGCAGATGATTCAGAGACATCCAAAACCAACTCTAGTTTCTTCAGTAACGCCACCAACAGAATCTTACCATGGTTGGGAGTGGTTGGTTGGGAGTGCAGTTTACTGAACTATTTTCCTGTGAATGACTGACTACTGATAAAATATTTAAGCGCGGTCCTTGCAGTGACTTTACATTATATATCGCTTTGTGTGTGAAATAAGCAAACATGCAACCATGTGACTTGTGAAACCTGGTGAAAGGTGGAATCATAATCAACGTGGCCCTTCCTTGCATCCGCAGCTGCCCCGTCGACAACTACGTGTTCCCGTCCCTGGGCAAGGCGCGTGACGGCGACGGGCTCGAGGCCAGGTTCAACGCCTTCAAGATCCCCGAGTCGAACTTCTTGATCTTCGAAGCCACAGTCAGGAATTGCCGCGGGGGATGCGTGCCGGTAAGGATGTCCGCCTTCGGGTGGTCTGTGCGTGTGTGTGTGTCACACACACACACGCACGCACACGTACACACAAATATATATATGTGTGTGTATGTATTTTGCATAGACATATAGATGACACGAAAGGGCACTGAAGGGGTGATGAATAGACATAATCGTTGATATACTGTAGAGTATATACGACGTGGTCATAGATTTTCGTTTCGCCGAAGCCACCTCATCCAAATGGCCTGGATTTCTTTATCACTAACGCTGGCATCCTCCAGGCCCGCTGCACCCTCGGCAACGGGCGCGAGGAGACGGAGTCCTACGGCCGAAGGCGTCGAGACGCTGGCGACGATCCCTCGGCGCTGGCGCTGACCGACGGCGTGGAGGACGAGGATGAGGAGGACCCCGACGAGGAGGAGCAGGTCCATGGCATCTACGAGGTCGGTTGGGTTTCGCTTGACAGACAGCTTCAGTTAAAAGCATTTATTTTCTTTTTATCGCTTTATCCAAATTCTCCCAGAATCGCGATATCGATAACTCTTTTTGGTGACCGAACGACCGCGTCCTCCCCAGGTCTACCTCTCTCGCGACGAGATCGACGACTCCGTGCCGCTGGCTCTGCTGGACGAGGTGTGTCTCGCGGCGTCCGAGTACTACAGCCTGGTGGCGGGGCTCGTCATCACCATCAGCGGCCTCGTCGCCTCCCTGCTCGCCATCGTCTACTGCGTCAGGTGGGCCCTCTGCTCCTGCCTTCCCTCGCAGGACTCAATCTGCGCTTGCTTACTCGCGCACACACACTCACCTACTCTCACTCACACACACACATACACACACACACACAACACACACACACACGCACACACACACGCACACACACACACACACACACACACACACACACACACACACACACACACACACACACACACACACACACTGACTCACTCACACACACATACACACCCACTCATTCACACACACCAAATGTGTTGTTGGCATATGAAAACCGGACGTTTTGCCCTTGGTCAGGAATATTTTGATTAATTGCACCTTAATCATTGCATTTTGTTCTTGTTCCGTCAGCCAAAAGGAATAGGCGCTAATCTTTCTCAAAAGGTTTTGCCTTAGTGCGTAGATCTTGGGGCTGCACAGTTGCATGAGGATATAGCATAACCTGCCCTAAGTTCTAGCCTTGTATAGCGCCCTCTTGCCCTGCAGGAAGCACCGCCAGCTGGACAGCAAGAACGCCGCCGCCGACGCGGGGAACCCCTACCACAGCCAGCCCCAGCAGAAGAGCAAATTCAACTTCCCTGGCAGCCACGCCCGCACCCTCACGCAGCCCGCCAGGCAGGTGTAAGCTTGCATGTACCCAGTACTTCCTACCTCGTCGCTGAGCCTTCCACTCCCTGTGCCCTTTCTTCGTTTTCTTCCGTTGCCTTTCCTCACTGCCCCTCTTCTCAGCTTTAT